CTTTGGTTCACATTGAGGAGCTGTTTCCCCAGATTTATATGGCTACTCCTATTAGTAAAGGTCCCACACAATTCTCAGCAGTATGTTATACTCTTGAAATGTTAATCTAGATAGCCAGAGAAAAACCAGAAGCATTCTGGAATGCTTTTAGCTAGGTTTAGCTAGATCTTTTAGCTAGGTTTTACTCTTCCTCTTTAATACGCAGCTTGCTAAGGCACAGAACCCAAAAGTATTTCCAGCAGGATCTGCAATGATGATGGAACAGGTAGCGCTTTCCAGGTGGCAGCATCATTGCAAGATGCTACCCCTGGTCAGCAGACATCAGTAGACAGAAAACTGTGCAACTCAGAGAATATCCCACTATGTTTGATTTTGGATTCTTTAAAACAGGGTGAACAAAGACAAACCAAACAGCAAGGTCAGCCATGATTTTATTAAGGAAAAACCACAAAAGGACCATATTCTGAACTCACTGCTGATTGCTCTCAGCCATCTGTGTCACAGTTTGCTCAGAGCAGCTGCAATGCACAGCTCCCAGGAGGCTACTTGCAAAACCTTCACGGCTCCAATATTAAGCTTGAACAAGCTTTCAAGCTACCTTAACTTCATCTTTAGAAGAGTACACTAGAAACACTGAAAACAAAGGCCAAAAGTGATGATGAAATGAACGAACCATTCGCTTTGAAGTTTAAACCTTCCAGACTTAGAAAAGAGTGAATAGTCATTGAACCAGAGTTCAGTGAATTCCCATAGGAATAAATGCGTCTGGTCACTAGGTGTCAGCCTTGCCTGTACCAGAAGGACACTGGACCTTCTCCCTATCCCAGGGAGCAGATGCAACTCTCAGCACTACAAATGATCACAGCAGTCTTGTAATTTGGGGAAAGGAGCAGAGGAGGATGTTGTTTGTGTGGGATGCTTATGTACCTATAATGTAAATAAATATGTAAATATTTGTTACCCACAGGCTTGGATGCTGGAAACAACAGCACGTTTCTTTCATGCCCAGGAGACGTGACTGGAAGTCAACTGCAGAGACAGCAGAGGAGTTATGCTCTCAAACAATGAATAAATCAGCAGGGTATAAGCAATGAATCAGTAACTGTTTTGCAAGCCTCACAATATTTACTGTTTATCCTAAAGCACCAGTTCCTGGAATAATGCCATCACATGAAAATGCTGGCTCCCACTTCTTAAATTTGCTTCTAGCCTTGCTGGATACAGGAACAATGCTTGGAAACAAGATCCCTGCAGGGCTGAAAACTCTAAAGGACAACAAAGAAAACCTAAAATGTATTCTTTAAATGATTTCTTGAATACTTACAGTTCATAACAGCATAGTCAGCAAAAACAAAGAGTAATAAAACACACAAATTCTGGTGTTTGCAGAATACTCGTATGTTTCTCATTTTGGAATCTCTTCAGACGGAGGCTTTCATACCTTGATTCTCATGTTCCCAAGTCTGCACAGACTATTATTAGTTGGCCCTATTTCACTAGGGCCAACTACAGTACCCTAGCTGCATGTCATTGCCCATAGTGGCCTGCTGCCATTGCAGTTTCCTAATATGCTGCAAGCAAAGTCATTCAGCTCAGCTGAGAGCAACAGTTTGAACTGGGAAAACATGCACTTTTCACGAGATGCAGCAAAAATGACTTGACAGCTTTTTACCCTCCATTTTCTTCTTAGGTTCTCTTAATGGGCAGATAAGCTTTTCCACAATAAATAAAGACAAAAATCATAGCACCCCGGTGCTTCAATTCCCTCAGATACATACAAATGAGTGCAGAAAAACTGACCCAGGTAGAATTTTGCAACGCATTCACATCCTCGCTATGGTAATTAATTTCATGATCATTCCACAGTTAACACCTGTCTTCAGCGATGAACCTGGAAGGGCTGGAGCCTTCCAACAACAAAGTCACAATTAGCTCAGACATTTCACAAGTCCTAGAAGTCAGGGCGGCAGCAATGTCAAGCCA